GAACCCCCTCTTGAAGGTTTTTTTTTTTACCCTCCCTCAATCCTTCCATAAATCTTTTGATAATCTTTATTCAGGTTGCATAGTTATTTTGTTTAGTCCTTTGAAAGGTTACTCATGGGACCTCATTGCTAATACACACACACTCACACACACACACACACACACAAAACTCCACTAACATTCTTTTGTGTATACCTGTGTCTCCTTAGACCAGGGGTGTCAAACTCAATTCCTGGAGGGCCAAAGCCCTGCACAGTTTAGTTCCAACCCTGCTCCAACACACTTACCTGAAGGTTTCAAACAAGCCTGAAGGACTCAATTAGTTTGATTAGGTGTGTTTAATTAGGGTTGGAACTAAACTGTGCAGAGCTGCGGCCCTTTTGGAACTGAGTTTGACACCTGTGCCTTAGACAGAGTTGAGAGTAAGTAACACTCATGTGTGTGTGTGTATGTATACACAGACCCTTTTTCAATGAAAATAGGTCTTTGAAAATTGTAAACAAGTTGATTTTTACATAATCTTAATCTCTAGGCTATTAAATCCAGTTCAGGGACGGAACAATATGTTTGAGTCCAGTACATCTCGTCAACACTGACATGCATCTATTTTTATCTGCACCCGTTTGCCATTGCTCTGGTCACCTGAGCGTTTATGTTGTGGAATAAATTTAAAACTAAACTCTCTGAGAAGAAGAGTTGGAGAAGACTATAGAAAACATATAAGTCTTTAAAGCCTTGTCGCCCCTGTCAGCCTCTGTGCTCCAGGACACAGTTGAGGCAGGCATCTGTTCACCTTCGTTCTCACATCTGTAAAACAAGTAGAACAGCATCAGCACGCTGACATCTCAACACAACATGCACAACTCGTTTCTAATACCAATATATTATGCTAAAACTATTTTAAATTGTTTAATCCACAGCACTGACAAATGGAAAGATGCCTGTAAGGTTCTGTTTAAGGTGCACAAGAAGGCCCCACATTGCTAGAAAGCAAAAGAATAACAAAACATTTTGAGCTCAGTTCATCAAAGGTGTAAAAGTAGTGCATGTGTAACCCACCTATGAAATTGATTTAACTGAAAAGGGGAAAATTATCTACTGTGTTTGAGCTTTCCAAATTATATATGAAATTACAACACAATTTACTTGAAATCTCGGGTTCGGGATATCTCAACTTAACGACACAATATATTTATGAATGGTATGGCCAAATTTTTCGTATTACTCATACTATAATCACCAACTGCTCAAATAAAAATAAATACCCATACACAAGAAAATACTTTTTTCTTGTAAACTGCTTTTCAGCCCTTATGAAAAAAAATACTCAGGTATTCAAAACAAACAAAATTATATAAATAAAATACAATATGTTCACAGCATTTCAGCCAATTAAAAAAATTTAATAATAATAAAACTATACAGAAGTAGGAAAATACAGTTTCAACTGTCTAAACGTCCCAATTTCTATATATGTATGAAAACTTCAAAGTCCTGAATGTAATGTAAAACGTAGTTCAATGAATGTGAATCAGTGTATGTGTACCTACGAAAATCCTCGACGATTGAGTGTTGACATGCGTCCATCCAAACTGGCAGAAATCCTCACGGAGTGAATGGAACGAGCCGCTCCCCTTGCCTGCACGAGTCCTATGCGGTCGCGGCGCGATGGAACAGTCCAGTGTCAGTTAGCTAATGCAGCAATACAATTTGGGACATTAATTTTATGCAGAATTGGCAGGATGGATTAAATTAGAAGACAGCCAAAACGTGTCTCTCCTGTCTTCACCACAAGCTGGCGTGCAAGTGACGTCAGTCACCCTTGACCTCAATTCCGGTTTTTAGAAAATAACTTCTAAATGTAAATTTATACATCTATAATTTTTTTTACATGGCCAAATGTTGTGCATTAGGTAAGGTAAGAAAATAAAACATAAATACATAGATTCTGACAAAAAAAAAAAAAAAAAAAAGAAACTCTTAATTACATGTCAAAATAAAACAATATTTAATACTCAAAAATTTGAGTGGGTTACACATGCATTAAGACAAGGCTTGATATGTCTGCCGATTGCAGTGTAAATGAGCAATAAGAAATATTTACTGCTATTCGTAGATTGAGACCTTTGTCTTGAGGAAATCGATGTATTTTTTTTTTTTTACACAAACATTAACTATAGTTGTATTCTAGTACTCTGTAGTTTTGGAGCATCAATAATCTTTGTATAAGAAATTTTGCTGTTTACAAATATTATGGTAAGTGATGTTAAAGCATGGGTTTGTTAAAGCATTGCAAAGTATGTCAAAAAGAGACTGATAAATGCTTCTTAAAGTCATTATTATGTTACATTTTAGTCCCATTTCTAGGGGTACGGAGACAAAAGTAACAAAAGAAAATTAATTAGGATTAAAAAAAAATTATATATATATATATATATATATATATATATATATATATATATCAAAGTTTAATTGGATCGAATTAAAAATAAATTAATATTTAATAATGTGCGTGGAGAATCTCCTTTTTCTCTATCCCAGCATACGTTCACTTTAGATATAATAATAACAAAAAAACTCTGAAAAGAGATTTCAAAAGAAAAATATTATCTTTTATTCACTGTTTAACAAAGTTCTATATTTTCTTTTACATTTCCAGACTGGGTAAACAAAAACCAAGAGATACTTAAATGAAAATTATCCTAACAAAAATCATTATGAGAGGGTAAGGCCAAAATAACCAACAAAACAAAAGCTTACTAAATTGACAAAAAGTTCTAGATTTCCTAATATATATATATATATATATATATATATATATATATATATATATATATATATATATATATATATATATATATATATAGAAAACTCAAAATCAATGACAATGCTCTTACCCCACAAACTGGCTAAATCCAGAAACAGGAGGAAACTTAAAGGATAAACCCAAAATAAATCAGCACTTGTCTCTCTACACGGCTTACTTTTCACATAAAGTTACACGTCACACTTATTCACACTATAATCTCACAAGATTCACAAGCTCACAGTTCTAAATATCGAACAAAATCTCTTTCACTGGGTTAGGGAAAACAGGGACTCTCTCCGTGTTTTGCCTCTCTGCCTCTTTATAAAGCCTGGAAGCTCAATCAACAGCAACCGATCCGATTTGCTCTGATTGAAAACAGGTGCGGCTGGTTTGGAACGCTGCTCAATGAGAGAGAGAGAGAGAGAGAGAAAGAGAGAGAGAGAGAGAGACAGAGACAGAGAGAGAGAGCAATTAATAAAACAAAAGGGGAGAGCAATAAGCTGCCACTCACACCAACAACTTATTCCCCAAATAAATCATAGGATGTAACAATTAGTAAAAGTGAAGGGGACACTACACTGTCAGTGGGCGCTGTCTTTCGGATGAGATGTTAAACCGAGGTCCTGACTCTCTGTGCTCATTAAAAATCCCATGACACTTCTCGTGAAAGAGCAGGGGTGTAACCCCAGTGTCCTGGCAAAAGTCCCTCTATCGGCCCTTACGATCATGGCCTCCCAATCATCCCCTTCCACCAAATTGGCTCTATCACTGTCTCTCCTCTCCACCAAGAGCTGGTGTGTGGTGAGCGCACTGGCGCTGTTGTCCTGTGGCTGCCGTCGCATTATCCAAGTGGATGCTGCACACTGGTGGTGGTGTGGAGAGACCCCCCCCCCCCCAAAAAAAAAATTGTAAAGCGCCTTGGGTTTATGGCCATACACATATTGCGCCATATAAATACACATTACATTATTAAAACAATATCTTATTTAAACCGTTTAGAAGGTTAAAGACAGATTGCTTTATTATGTACACGCTATGAGGCTCTCTGCGAGACCAGCTTTAACAAATAAATAAAAAAATCTTGTTAGACTGAAAAAAAAGATCAAACTAACCTGGTCATATGATTAAAACCCTAATCTAGAAGAAATTACACTTTTCTGATACACTGAGGTGGCTCTGAAAAGAGCCTTTGGGTTTAAATCAGATGACTATAGAGAAGTTAAGCGCGCTCTCCGCGGATGCGGCGGGCCAGCTGGATGTCCTTGGGCATGATGGTGACCCTCTTGGCGTGGATGGCGCACAGGTTGGTGTCCTCGAACAGACCGACCAGATAAGCCTCGCTGGACTCCTGAAGAGCCATGACGGCGGAGCTCTGGAAGCGCAGATCTGTCTTGAAGTCCTGAGCGATTTCTCGGACCAGACGCTGGAAGGGCAGTTTGCGGATCAACAGCTCAGTGGATTTCTGGTAGCGACGGATCTCTCTCAGAGCCACGGTACCGGGCCTGTAACGGTGAGGCTTCTTGACGCCGCCGGTAGCCGGAGCGCTTTTACGAGCGGCTTTAGTGGCGAGTTGCTTCCTCGGGGCTTTGCCTCCGGTAGATTTACGGGCGGTCTGCTTGGTTCTTGCCATCTTCTCTAATATGTTGCAACAAAAACGTGTAGCTATTTAAACTGTGCTAGGGCGTTACGTTCACTGGGCGGGGTGTCATTGAAGTAATTTGATTGGCTGCTCTGTAGTAACGGAAACTGTGGTGGCCATCATCACCAAACAAACCCTTGTTATATCATGAGCACGGCCAGGTTTGTTTGCTAACAAAAAAATTACCCGCTCCAGATTTTGATTGACAGCCATACGGCCTGATTATTGATTATTTTCAATAGTATGCAAGTTGTATTTGTAAGGCAAGTCGCTACTCCTTGAAGAAATGATAAACATGGACAAAAGTACACTGTAAAAGAATTCTTTTTTTTGATGTAAGATAAAAAAAAAGCATGATTATTTGTTTAATTAATATTCGACTAACACGATTACAAATCTGTTAGTGGGTCTAGCAAACAACAGGTTACCATTAATATTTTACTGGAATAGTGAAAACAACCTTTACATTTGACAAACTAAAAATAACACTGATGTTGTATTGGTGTAAACCAGTCAGGGAAGCTTATTTAACGTCACATTTGTTTCACTTTCAGCATTAGATTTTAATTTGATTTCTGAGGCTGATTAGTTTAATGCAACTTTAAAGACCTTTTTATAGACACCAGGAGCTACTAATATATTAATGGCTGAGAATGCTATGACTAAAATAAGATAGCTCCCTCAAAGAGAAAGTAGGTGGCTCTGAAAAGAGCCTTTGGGTTCAAGAGTAAATGAAACCAAGTGTTTATTTGCCTTTGGCAGCCTTCTCGGTTTTCTTGGGCAGCAGCACGGCCTGGATGTTGGGCAGCACACCACCCTGAGCGATGGTCACTCCACCCAGAAGTTTGTTCAGCTCCTCGTCGTTGCGCACCGCCAACTGCAGGTGACGGGGGATGATACGGGTCTTCTTGTTGTCCCGAGCGGCGTTTCCGGCCAACTCCAGGATCTCAGCGGTCAGATACTCGAGCACAGCGGCCAAGTAAACCGGGGCACCGGCACCCACACGCTGAGCATAGTTACCCTTGCGGAGCAGCCTGTGAACACGGCCGACGGGAAACTGAAGTCCAGCCCTGGAAGAACGTGACTTAGCCTTAGCTCTGGCCTTGCCGCCGGTTTTGCCTCTTCCGCTCATCTTGGTCTTGTCCTTGACACAAAACGAAATATTACCAATACCAGCAGATCAGCTCATATTTAAAGGAGTGTGATCGCCGTCTATTGGCCAGAGTCCGTTACAATTTTAAACCAATCACCGCACTTCCCTCCAAATTCCAAGCCACCCCCTCATTCTCTTTGTTCAAAGTTGGAATCATATTGACAGAATCCTTGGCCTAACTTTCTGAAAATGTGTTTAGGATATCAGGATTTAACAAAAAGTTGATTCTAATTTAGGAAAACTACTAAATGAGATTTATTAAGAGTAGTGGAACATAAAATAGAACATACATATATAGAAAATAAGCACATTAACATAGAAACCATGGACTGTAAATGACGAGCAAATCATTAATTTGATATGAACTAGCATTTCAAATAAAATGCTCAACATTTATTGGAATATTTAGTCATGGTTGGAAACCTGAATAAAAGTTTAAAGGTCAAATCTAATTTCATTATAATGTCCACAATTCATGTTCCGGTTAATATTTTACCAATAAATTAAATTATCTACTAATGCAGATTATAAAAATTGATCATGTAAACGTGACTGTGTCTTAAATCTCCAATTTCAATCATATGCCTTAAACTTGAATAGCTAAATCAACACCATTTGTCCATAAACTTAAGTAAATATCACAATTTATACAAAATAATTGAAATATCATGTATATAAATAAAATTTTATTTATACACTTTCAGTCTGTATTCATTATAATGCCATTGTAGCGCTAGAATAATCACATAATAAAATCTTGGTTTAATTAAACAAAATCCTATTAACCACCTTTCTGGTTTATATTAACTACTAAAAATATATCAGATATTGTAGGCACAGGAAACTCTTAAAATGACAGAATGGGTGGCTCTTAAAAGAGCCTTTGGGGTAGCTGAAGTGGATTCAACGCTTTACTTGGAGCTGGTGTACTTGGTCACAGCCTTGGTGCCCTCAGACACGGCGTGTTTGGCCAGCTCACCGGGCAGCAGCAGACGCACGGCGGTCTGGATCTCTCTGGAAGTGATGGTGGAGCGCTTGTTGTAGTGAGCGAGACGTGAAGCCTCACCGGCGATGCGCTCGAAGATGTCGTTGACGAACGAGTTCATGATGCCCATCGCCTTGGAGGAGATACCAGTGTCGGGATGAACCTGCTTCAACACCTTGTAGACGTAGATAGCGTAGCTTTCCTTCCTGGTCCTCTTGCGCTTCTTTCCTCCTTTTCCAGCGGTCTTGGTGACCGCTTTCTTAGATCCCTTCTTGGGCGCGGGCTTTGCTGGCTCAGGCATGATGAAGATTTCAGAGTGCGAAACCGAGTGTGGTTCTGTTCACTGTAAGGGGTATTTATTGAAAGCTCGTGCCAAGCCGAGTGACTGCATTGTATTTCTATTGGGTGCTTTCGCTCAACGAATGAAGATCTCATTGGTCAGAATTAGGCGGCTAGATAAACTTTCCGCCAATCGCAGGCCTCTAAATTTGAATAATCAACTCCCAGTGATCTCCTTTACTGTTGACCTTTCCCCCGCTATAATGCAAAAAGCTTACATGCAGCTGTAGGTTAAATGTTATGGTTGTTGCACCATCTTACAATAGTCATTCTACGATAATAGTCATGCGAAATCGTTCCATTACCCGAAATGAAGAACTATTTCAGACAAATACAGAGCAGAATAGCTGTAACAGAAGCAAATTATTCATTTATAACGGGTGTTTTATTTCCTTCCCCTAAAAGTTTAATTATCTGTAAGCAATTTGGGGTTTTCATTACCGAATATATGACTAAAGTTATTTGCTAGGAGGTAATTTTAATTAAAACCTAGCTTACTGCCTTTTGGAATGTCATCTGTCTGTATATTTCATAATCTAGTGATCTTGTACTTGTTCATTTATTAAACTCAGTAAACTACATTGAACATCTCATCCATTAATATACATCTGTATTTGAAATTATACAAATTATTAGAATCAAAGGCGCCCATAATACGTCATGTCTCCTCTGAAGTGCAGTACTTTAATACTTGCCTTATATCTAATTATTTTACATAACTGCTCCATGTTTACAGTAAAAATTAATTAAATCTAAAATTTGGGATTGAACCATTTGGAACCTCTGAAAATAAGAAAACATTTTAAAAACTAACATTTTAAAAACTCATAAAAGATTAGAAATGTGCTTTATGAAAGTGTGGGTGGCTCTTAAAAGAGCCGTTGGGATTTCAGGATGGGCTGCAGATGTTTAACCGCCGAAGCCGTACAGAGTGCGTCCCTGTCTCTTCAGCGCGTACACAACATCCATGGCGGTCACGGTCTTCCTCTTGGCGTGCTCGGTGTAGGTGACGGCATCACGGATGACGTTCTCCAGGAACACCTTCAACACTCCGCGAGTCTCCTCGTAGATCAGACCAGAGATACGCTTCACACCACCACGACGAGCGAGACGGCGGATAGCGGGCTTGGTGATTCCCTGGATGTTATCACGGAGAACTTTACGGTGACGCTTAGCACCTCCTTTTCCGAGTCCTTTACCGCCTTTGCCTCTTCCAGACATGATTACTTCAATATTGATTTAACAAGTATATGGTAAGCTCTGCGAGTGATATTTTACAATCGCTTACAGGACCTAGTTGAAACCCCAACAGGAGGAGCTACGCGTTTTCAAATTACGTCACGTGCTGCTATTATCCGACCCCACCCCTAATCTCAGCCTTCACTTGAAAAATGACATAATACAGCTGCAGTTTGTATTGACCATTTCAAATACAGCAATAAAACAGAATTACAAATCACGCTTCAGTGTTTACAGCAGGGATTATTAGAACTGAAATTGCTCTTTATGTGGGTTGAAGATCAGTTTTTAGAAAGGACTATGGTGCCTTGAATCATACTACAGTACAGTGCATTATGTATTTTGTAATATATAGGGTTTTTCTACAACTCTTTGTTATCTTGTCTAAAATTCTGCTACTTTGGCATATTGTCTTCACGTTTTGTAGAAATTAAAGTGTTCCAAAAATATCAGGGCCTTAATACAGGTGAATAAAATGCAAATGCTTTTAAAAAGCTTTTATTTCCATATTTTAAACATGAAATACTGCATTCTAAATATTACCGTAAGAAATTCTATGAAATATTGTTTATGTTTTTTCCAGAAGGCAAGTGTAGCCAAAAATGTGTCCTGAAGCACACTCATGACATAAAAGACATGTCCAGAGCAATAACTTAAATACTTGTTTCTTATTTCCTATAAATATAACTTATATTTTTATATCTAAAATGGTTTCTTATTATATTCCATAATTTAGATTCTTCTTATTTTATTTTTTAAGGACACGGGCAGTTCTATAAGAAGTGACTTTTTATTTGACAAATAAAAGTTTACCTTGATTTTAATTGGCGATTCATCATACAGCGGCAACCCCTTATAAAATAATGGACCAAGCCGAGGGAAAGTGAAGAACATTAATATTATATTAAATAAACCCTTTTATAAACATTTTATGCAAATACAGTCAGCCTTTTCTGCTGATTGGCTTTCCGGATTATTTGTCATGTCCCCCATTATGAAAGGAGACAAACAGTTCTCAAATAATTTGTTTCAAAGGGGATAGAAAATTACTGATTTGATTGAAATATACTTTCATTGTTTGATCTCAACATTTAAATAGATTAGTCCTTACTTTTTCCTTCTGAAGGAGTTGAATAGATCATTTGTTTGGTGAATAATTTTCTGTATCTGGCATAAATCGTATACAGAGCTTACATATGTATTTACATGTGATGTTGATATGTGAAATAATAATATAGAGGCACAGTATAATCAGATATAATAACAATATAAACAGCTCTTTAGTGGAGATTTATTGATTCACAGATGTTTGATGTGACGTGAACAGCTGTCACTACATGCACATTTTTGTTTTAACGAATAATTATTTTGAGTTATTCAAAATAGAGACTTTCCCTGCATTAAGTTAGCTGGCAGTACATTATTTATTGTACCATTTTGATAAGAAGTCTGTGTGAACAAGTTCCAACTTTGAGTTCAATGTATATTGTTCTTTGTGTATGTGTGTTTGTTTTTCATCAATTCAATTAAGCTGTATTTCACCTCTCCTGACCACAGAAATACCCTCATCTCTGACCTTTTCATTCAGATAAACACTGAAGATGTGGTTCGGATTTAGGTAAATTGTGTGCAGGCGGGTAGATTTTCTGGATTTATCTATACTTTAACTCGTCAGGTTAAAACACGGTCATGTATGATGCAGTTAGGGATGCATGTTAGTGTGCAATTGCTGTGAAGACAAACTCTGTGCAAGTGTTGAAGTTGACGTTTTAGTGGAATAACCATTGTTTTTGGTGAACAATAAACAGATCCAACTGTACTGTATGAAAAACACACTGTACCTCAGTATTTGCAGTTTACTAAGGGCTAAATTCAGCACATGGGGTCCATCTGTGATGACCATTTCTCTCTTTAAATTTATCCAATCCTATTTATGCCATTTCTGTAAAACAAAATGGTGGCTTATGGGGGTTACTAGCTGAGCATTCATCAGGCAAATTTTGATTATAACTGTACTTATAGGTCATTTTAGATCGTCAGTGATCTGTCTGGAGATGATCATTAGTGGGATCTTGCTCTTTCTGAATATTCATTGTTCTGTTTTAAGTTTTTGTTTCCTATTTAAAGCATTTGAGATCAAGAAAAATGTAGTTTGCTTTACAAAATGTGTGATTTGCTTAAACTTCTTTCGAGGTTGCCCTAATCTAGTCAATATTATAACCACATTTCATTTTTAGCAAGGTTTAATTTGATGTTATGTCAGTTATATTGACAAATATTTAAAAGCAACCCTACACCCTTCCGGCAAAATGTTTTTAATGCCACTAGTTTTGTTTTCACACAATCAGTGGTTAAAGATTATTAATACATTTTTTACTTGATACTACCTGTAAACCCGTACTCGATCACTACAGCTCAGAAAGTTATACCATTTAATATAATATACATCCTGATAACAAATATAGGGAATAATAAACCTGAAATTGTAAGAAATTGCAGTTTTTTGATGTACTGAGGTGGCTCTGAAAAGAGCCTTTGGGTTTAAATCAAGTTAACGAATAAGTTAAGCGCGCTCTCCGCGGATGCGGCGGGCCAGCTGGATGTCTTTGGGCATGATGGTGACCCTCTTGGCGTGGATGGCGCACAGGTTGGTGTCCTCGAACAGACCGACCAGATAAGCTTCGCTGGACTCCTGAAGAGCCATGACGGCGGAGCTCTGGAAGCGCAGATCAGTCTTGAAATCCTGAGCGATTTCTCGGACCAGACGCTGGAAGGGCAGTTTGCGGATCAGCAGCTCAGTGGACTTCTGGTAGCGGCGGATCTCTCTCAGAGCCACGGTTCCGGGCCTGTAACGGTGAGGCTTCTTGACGCCGCCGGTAGCCGGAGCGCTCTTACGAGCGGCCTTAGTGGCGAGCTGCTTCCTTGGAGCTTTGCCTCCAGTGGATTTACGGGCGGTCTGCTTGGTTCTTGCCATTTCCTCAAACTTCCTAAGCTCTCTTTAGAAAAGTTGTAATGTTAGTGACAGCGCAGCTGGTATTTATACTCTGTTCTGCATTGTTCTCTGTGGGTGGAGCGTTAGCAAAGTCATTTGATTGGCTACAAGATCTGACCAATGGTTGCACGTTCTCGAATTTTGAATCTGAAACAGCTGCAGCCCGCGCTTTTCTCTCGTGTGTAAGCTGATCCATCAGAAATCAGTTTATTACTTTACAAGTTTTTACTGAAATTTAATATTTCGTTGCTTAAATCATAACCTGATTTAGACATCTGGGAACTAATATGGTGTTTATTTGCTGACATTCAAGTAAACACAGGAAATATTTGTCTCTTCCCAGTAGTGTTTTTCATCCACTCTTGTGTGATGTTGAGTCTTAATTTGGCCACTACTTTTTTTCAGAAAATGGAAATGTTTTCTTGTTTTGTTTTTTTTTACATATTTTAGGATGATTTGAAACTTTTCAGAACTCCAAACTAGCAGATTTTTCCTCATTTACTTCTATCATGACATTTTTAATGCAAAGTTATGTCATAATCGTGCATTCTTGGTTGCTGGTGGATTTCCCTGTTAGAGAAAGATAACATGTAATTGTCACTGGTGATTATTAGTTTCAGTGCAAAAAAAGAAAAAAAATAAACTTTGACTTGTTTTACAGAGTTTGTAGTGTGTGTGAAAGACATTTGCAAATGTACCTTGTCTGAGAAAATTAAAATAAGCACCTCATCTTTCAGAACAATTTAAATATTGAATTTATGCAGCACGCATCACTCAACTTTACTCCATAAGACTTCATATATAGGCTAGAAGCCTTTTGCACAAAAGTGCAAAAAAAACACAGGTGATCTTTGATTGTATGCAATTTTTTACAACAAAAACCTTTACACGAGAAAACAGAATACAGCAACTTATTAAAATAGATTAGAATTTACGAGAGTTAAGGAAGACTTGGTTTATGTTGAAAACGCTTTTGATATTTTTGGGGAAATTGGCCTATTTGTCTCGACATACTGTTAATGCGTCATTACAGCATTTACTCTTTCAAAGAAAAAGTTGGTGGCTCTGAAAAGAGCCGTTGGGTTAAGCCGACTTGTCATTATACTGTAGCGCTTTATTTGCCTTTGGCAGCCTTCTCGGTCTTCTTGGGCAGCAGCACGGCCTGGATGTTGGGCAGCACACCGCCCTGAGCGATGGTCACTCCACCCAGAAGTTTGTTCAACTCCTCGTCGTTGCGCACCGCCAGCTGCAGGTGACGGGGGATGATACGGGTCTTCTTGTTGTCCCGAGCGGCGTTTCCGGCCAACTCCAGGATCTCAGCGGTCAGATACTCGAGCACAGCGGCCAAGTACACCGGAGCACCGGCACCCACGCGCTCGGCATAGTTACCCTTGCGGAGCAGTCTGTGAACACGGCCAACGGGAAACTGCAGACCAGCTCTGGATGAGCGAGTCTTAGCCTTAGCTCTGGCTTTGCCACCGGTTTTGCCTCTTCCGCTCATGTTGCTTGTATTCCTCTTGTTTGCTAAACAGAAGTAAGGTTAATCTACCAAGGCAGACAGTATTTAACAGAGCGTGCTCGCCTGCTATTGGTCAGAGTCTGTAGAGGTTTCAAACCAATCACTGCACTTCCCTCCAAATTCCAAACCCCTTCCCTCTCTGCAAGTGTCTACCTTCAAGGCTGTAAGAAATGTCTTCATATGATAATAATAATAATATCAATCATAAGTTTAACTAAATATCAAATATGCAGTAAACAGCGTTTTTTTCACGCACCATTCATTTTAGATTTTTGGGGCATTTAACTTTTTTCATAGTGTTCTTTTTTATGTCTGATGTAAATATCCTGCCTGTAGATTTTAAATACACAAGCTATACATCTCTTTTTAAGCAGCACATACGTTATTTTCTCCGTTTTTTTGTTTTTCAACTGAGAATTTTTTTGACAATTTTGCCTAATTTTATGCATTTATTCTAGTAAATAATCTTTTTTCGCTGGCTGTTTGGATTACTTTCAGAAGTATAACGTTTAAAAAAATACCCACTGTAAAACTAAAGTTTCGCCAAAATAGCGCTTTGGGTATATATATATATATATATATATATATATATATATATACATATATATATATATATATATATATATATATATATATATATACACATACACACATACAAGTATAACATTACAGAAACCTTGTACCACTATACTATATTCCTTACCCATATATTGTGGTCATTATTGTTCAAATGATGGGGAAACAATCATGGCTACTTCTGGAAATAGTAGATGACACACTTTAGATAAGTGTTGTGGAAATGTTCTTCTGTTGTAATCAGTGGGTGGCTCTTAAAAGAGCCTTTTTGTTAAATTGTGGAAGAGAAACAGATTTACTTCTTCTTGGGAGCGGCCTTCTTAGGCTTGGCCGCCTTCGGCTTCACCGTCTTGGGCTTTGCAACTTTCGCCTTTTTGGGGCTCTTGGTTGCTTTCTTGGCAGCCGCTGGTTTCTTCGCTTTCTTGGGGCTTTTTGTCGCTTTCTTAGCAGCTGCAGGCTTCTTGGCTTTCTTGGGGCTCTTTGTCGCCTTCTTCACGGCGGCCGGTTTCTTCACCTTTTTGGGTGACTTCTTAGCGGCGGGTTTCTTGGCTTTCACTGCAGTTTTCTTGGCCGCTGGCTTCTTCTTGGGCTCGGCTTGCTTCTTGTTCAGCTTGAAGGAACCAGAGGCGCCTGTGCCTTTAGTCTGGACCAGGGTGCCGTTAGTCACCAAGGCCTTGACGGCGGTTTTGACGCGAGAATTGTTCTTCTCCACATCATAGCCGCCAGCAGAGAGAGCTTTCTTCAGGGCTGCGAGGGACACGCCGTGTCTCTCCTTGGAAGCGGTCACAGTCTTGACGATGAGATCGCGGACATTTGGACCCGCTTTCTTGGGTTTGGACGCCGCTTTCTTCTTAGGGGCTTTGGCCGGTGGGGCAGCAGGAGCGGTTTCAGCCATGGTTCTCTGCGCGAATATAGACAAACGTCGACGAAAGTCTGAGATCAATGATGTAGCGCTGCCAAGCGGCTGTGAATTTATCTACCTCATGAGGACCGTGTAGCCTCAACACACTGACCCACACATCATTTTGGCGCCTAAATTTTGACCAGATCAAGTACATTTTGCTTATTAAAATGAGATTGTGTTGCTTTTCATTGTGAGGACCCGTTTTTGAAAGGATTTTGACAATTAAATTTAACTAGACATTGTTCCTCCATTGATTACTTTGCTTGTACTCGTGCATGTATCTTGTTCTTAAAGCTTATAGTTATATATAGTTATATATAAAATATAGTTTTATATAAAACTATAAGATTTTGTGAAAGCTACAAATGTATGCGATTTATTTGTAATTTAGCTTTGATTTGTGAAGATGTTAACATTAAAACGTGGCAAATGGTGCAGCAGCATAAGTTTTAGTATTCTCTATAAATGATGACTCTCAAAAACTGTTAAACTTAAAGCAAACACTTAGAAACAAATTATTTATTATTGGCCCTGTACAAAACTCATAAACAGGGTTAAGATTTGAAAGATGCAATTAAACATGCCCTCCAAAATATTAATTTTAAATTAACATTCAGCAAATTATGAGTTATTTGATAAAGATGTTTTTATAAACAAATTCATCTAAAGGTTTATGTCGAATGGACTATCAAAAGTAATAATTAGTACAATTGTAACCGATGCAAGTTGATGTTTTCAACACATTGATCATCATTTTATACATGAGTACATATTACCATTAAGACCATAATAACTACTAGATTTTTACATTATTTTTACCTCTGGAACGTATCTGTAATACATTTTTATGAAGATGTATAAATGCAGGATCGTTAACACATCTCATGTAAATATAATGGGGCTTAATAGGTCTTGCCGGATTGGTTGGTTTTGAACTATAAATGAATGAAAACGTTTTTTTTTTATTGATAATTTACATACTTTTCAAATTTCCCATCTTGGCACTTAAAGCTGAGATAAATCATTTACAAAGACACCATAACGTGGATGATTTAGCTTTTTTTTAATGTACTTTTTATTATTGCAAACTATCAAAAGTACACCAAATAACAAAAGCAGACTTAATATGTCGTTAAGTTCAGGCTAAACTTGTATTATCCAACTAGTACTGCAAAATTATTTTTAAAAAATGCCCTTTATGAAAGTGTGGGTGGCTCTTAAAAGAGCCGTTGGGTTTTCAGGATGGGGCGCAGATGTTTAACCGCCGAAGCCGTACAGAGTGCGTCCCTGTCTCTTCAGCGCGTACACAACATCCATGGCGGTCACGGTCTTTCTCTTGGCGTGCTCGGTGTAAGTTACAGCATCACGGATAACGTTCTCCAGGAACACCTTCAACACTCCGCGAGTCTCCTCGTAAATCAGACCAGAGATACGCTTCACACCGCCACGACGAGCGAGACGACGGATGGCGGGTTTGGTGATTCCCTGGATATTATCACGGAGAACCTTACGGTGACGCTTAGCGCCTCCTTTTCCGAGTCCTTTACCGCCTTTGCCTCTTCCGGACATGATTCCTTTCGAGCTTAATTAAGCAAGCAAATAAAGAGGTCAGTGAGTGACAATTTACAATCGCTTACAGGACCTAGTTGAAACACTAAAAGGTGGAGCTACTATTATCCGACCCCGCCCCTGAATCCAACAATTACTGTGACGTGACCATTCTGGACGACATGGCTTCGTTTGGCCTTGCTTTTACTATCAGATTTTAAAGAAAACAAGTTTATTTGGTATCCGGAATTTTCTTTTTCTTTTTAAATATTTCCCTAGTGCTGTTTAACAGAGCAAGGATATTTTCACTGTATCATTAGTATGTTATATATTTTTTCTTTTTAAACTCATAATTCCTATATTAGTCTCGTTGATATTTTTTCGAATGGCCACAGAACAGTCCCTGTTGTCCAATTACTTGCCTAATTAACCTCCTTAAGTCCTTATATTGAATACTTTCTTGCAAAATACCTAGATATGCACCGTCAACATGGCAAAAAATGGTTAGAAATTTATTATAACTATAAAGTTCAAAATGGGTTGTAAAAACACCTTTTCAAGTGTTAAAAAAATTAGGTTGACCCTACAACAGAAACCGTTTCGTTAAAATATTCGGCACGCATCATTTTAGATTGTGTAACATACTAGTACAACATACAGTAGAACAGTAAAATATATCACAAATATATCACAGTATATACAATAATAAATAGTGCTCAGCACGAGAACAACACCCACAGATCTCTTTCCAACAGATTTTCTATAGGATGATTTACAGTAACAATATCTGAAGATCTAACCTAATAAAATTAACTTGTATTATACAATTTAATATTAGCCTAAAGACCAGTCCACATTTAAAATGACAATTAAAATGAGAATCCTTATATATTAATTTATTTCCCTATATGTAGTTATTATAAAAGCACAATAACTCTTTTAAAGAGAAAGTGGGTGGCTCTGAAAAGAGCCTTTGGGTGGTTTGGGTTCAAACTGTAACGGTTTATTTGCCTTTGGCAGCCTTCTCGGTCTTCTTAGGCAGCAGCACGGCCTGGATGTTGGGCAGCACACCGCCCTGAGCGATGGTCACTCCACCCAGAAGCTTGTTCAACTCCTCGTCGTTGCGCACCGCCAGCTGCAGGTGACGGGGGATGATGCGGGTCTTCTTGTTGTCCCGAGCGGCGTTTCCGGCCAACTCCAGGATTTCAGCGGTCAGATACTCGAGCACAGCGGCCAAGTAGACTGGAGCACCGGCACCAACACGCTGAGCATAGTTACCCTTACGGAGCAGTCTGTGAATACGGCCAACGGGAAACTGAAGACCAGCCCTGGATGAGCGAGACTTCGCCTTTGCTCTAGCCTTGCCACCGGTTTTGCCTCTTCCGCTCATTATGTTAATATCTCTGCGTAGACTCGGGTAGAAATAAAATAACTATAGCAGAACAACTCATATTTAAAGGAGAGTGGTCACCGTTTATTGGCCAGAGTCTGTGAAGGTTTTAAACCAATCACTGCACTTCCCTCCAAATTTCAAGCTACTCCCCTAGTTCTTCTTTGTTCGAAGTTCGAATCACATTGAAAGAATCCCTGGCATTCAGAAAATGTGTTTGCAATATCAGGGATTTACAATAAACTAGTGCAAATTCAAGAAAACTAATAATTTAAGTGATGAGATTTATTAAGAGTAGATTCATATGAAATAGAATATAAATGCATTTATAAATATAGAAAATATGAAAAATTGTTCACAACTCCGCACAAAACCAGATGATTGAGAACGTTTACATTTTCTAATAAATCATGTGTTCAACTGTAAAGAAAGAGACATCAAACTTACCCTGGTATGAATTAAGTATTTTAAATAAAAAACATTTTATTTATTGAAACATTTAGTCCTGTTTAACACAATAACAAAGGCTCAAAGGTAAAACTTTAACTGGAGTTGATCTTCTTATGTCCATGTGTTGGCTCATATTTGGCAATAAACAGGGCTTGTTATTCAGGCCAAATATAAAGATTACATTAAAAACATCAAAAAGTATGAGATTTAAACGATTTAGGCCCACCTATTTTTTATTTATTTTTTGCTTGCCATTTTCCTTTTATAAGTAATTTTCTGCATGTTATTCATGTTTAATTTCTTAACGACATGCATGCAAATAACCAAATAAAAGATTTCAGGAAAGAAAAAAAGGGATTGATTTATTTGCTGTCACATGAGGCCTTCAACTTACTCTAATTCCAGGATGCAAAATGGAGGCAAACTCTCCCAAATAAGGCAAGTTTAATGTTAATAAAAATATTTTTTATTTACAAATAGATCATAATCATGAAGGTCTCTAGATTTATCCAAACAAAACAAATCCTTCACGAGATCTAGCTTTGAGTGTCGTTTGACATGTTCAAGCGGTAACTACATTGTAAGAACATAAATAATGGCGAATTAGAGAATAATGAGTTAAGTTAATAAATCAAGGTTATTGGCCTTGTTTAATGTTTTTTTTTTTTTTTGCTTTCATAATAGCCCATTTAAAATATCCATTTAACTAATATCTTTACTTTAAAGTAGACCTTTTTTATACACAATTTAAAGCAGCAAAACAGTCAGAGTAAAATTAACTTCTCCTACTGGTCCCTCTCCTGCAAAGATTTAAAATAACACATTATAATGAACTCCTGCTGTCAAAAAGCAGAATCACTAAAGAAAAACTCTAAACTACAACCAAATTCAGTCAAAACCTTAAGCCTGCTGTCCACACAGAAATGGGTGTTGTCTAAATCTATGCTTTTTCTACATGGCTTGGCTGTTCGTCCACACAAACCCAAAATATTAAAAATTATAATTAACTTTTTTCATTTGTCTTTTTGACACACATTAGTCTGTTTGGCAAACTAGTGTATTTTTCATCACTGTAAGACAAATAGATTAGTCCTGTGTGTTTCATAATCATGAAACTAGGCCTATATAATAGATAATTTTTGCGTAGTTCATATCAATTGGCTGTCAAAATTTAAACAAATGTTTAAAAAAGCTGTTGTTTTTAAAGTTAGGATGCCAAATGTTCTCCCATACATTTTTTACACTGAACGATGTTCACATTTACCCACATCACACTTTCAAATGTGATTTAAAAAAAAAAAGAAAAGCAAAACATGTTTATACAGGACACTATTAACAAAGACATTAGCATGAAACTTTTTTTATTTATTTATTTGGGCACAAATTAAGACATCAAATCACGTACACATCAACATTTACGAGTTGTAGTAAACAGCCTTCATACAAATACCTTTATTATTCATTCATTTTCTTGTTGGCTTATTCGCTTTATTGATCCGGGGTTGCCACAGCGGATTGAACCGCCAACTTATCCAGCAAGTTTTTACGCAGTGGATGCCCTTCCAGCCGCAACCAATCTCTGGGAAACAATACTTTTATTAAACGTTTCAAAAAGAAATGTACCGCTTTACACCATTCAATGCTGTCAGATGTAACTGTTTCCAGTCTAAAACCCGCTGAAAACCTAAAAGCACCGCCCAACAATCTGTTGACTATAATATTCGGTTGAGATGCTGAGGAGCGGGGGGAGGGTGTCCGTTGGGACACCACAACGGTTGTAAGCGTTTGAATGTGAAGAACAGGAACTGTGGCTTATACAACAATTTAATAAGTAAAGAAGACAGGGGCTGGCGGGTACGCCTTGCAAAACCATCCAAATTATTCACTACGCTCCTATATCAATTCTTTCCCGCAAAAACAAATTCAAAACTGCCTAATCTACCAAGTTCTGCTTTTATTATTTCCGGTCAGGCTCATTGTTGCACTATAATTATGTCGTTATATAGGACTTAAAATGACATTGATAAACAGAGTGCTCTTTCACAGATGAAATGGGTGGCTCTTAAAAGAGCCTTTGGGGTAGCTGAAGTTATTTCAAATCTTTACTTGGAGCTGGTGTACTTGGTGACGGCCTTTGTGCCCTCAGACACGGCGTGTTTGGCCAGCTCACCGGGCAGCAGCAGACGCACGGCGGTCTGGATCTCTCTGGAAGTGATGGTGGAGCGCTTGTTGTAGTGAGCGAGACGAGAAGCCTCACCGGCGATGCGCTCGAAGATGTCGTTGACGAACGAGTTCATGATGCCCATCGCCTTGGAGGAGATACCAGTGTCGGGATGGACCTGCTTCAACACTTTGTACACGTAGATAGCGTAGCTTTCCTTCCTAGTCCTTCTACGTTTCTTGCCGCTTTTGCCGGCGGTCTTGGTAACGGCTTTCTTGGAGCCCTTCTTGGGCGCAGTCTTTGCTGGCTCAGGCATGATGAAGATTTCAGAGAGTGAAACCGAGTTATTCTCTGTTCACTGTAAGGGGTATTTATTGAAAGCTCGTGCCAAGCCGAGAGACTGTATTGTCTTTCTATTGGGTGCTTTTGCTCAACGAATGAGATTTCATTGGTCAGAAGTGGGTGGCAATATGAACTTCTCGCCAATCGTAGGCCTCTAAATTTGAATATTTTCCGCCCAACCCCCAGTGATCTCCTGTGCGGTTTCTTTGTCCGACTTTCCCGCCGTACTCCAAAAATGCTTAATTTATCATACAGCTTAAGGTTAAATATTATGATCTTACGCCACATTAGAATGGCAATAGAATGATTTCAAATGTAGTGTGTGTAGAATGACCAGAGTTGTAGAACTATATCAGAAGTGCTGTTTGAAATTCACCAACATAATAAAGGAGCACAGCAGTAATAACATAAGCAGTTAATTCACAATAACTTTTCATATACATCGAAAGTCAACAAAGTTATTTGCTTAAGTTTATTTTATTTGAAACCGAACAATTTTGAAAATTTACATCTGACTGTAATAATTCGTAATCTGGTGAATTTGTGCCCTATCTCTGAACTGGAGTTCTTACCCGCTTGTCCAACAAAATTAATGAATTAAACGCTTATTTCAAATGAAGTAATGACTCTGCACCAAGTTAGCGGTAATGAAATGGACATAAGGAATTATTCCTTATCTTAAGTTTTTTTTTTAAACATCATTTAAATAAAACGATTGAATCCAAGTTTTTGGTGAATTTTTTGTAACCAAACTAATAAAATATAATAGACCCTGTATAGGCAATCATTTTAAAAAAGTTGAAATGTACTCTTTATGAAAGTGTGGGTGGCTCTTAAAAGAGCCGTTGGGTTTTCAAAATGGGTCGCAGATATTTAACCGCCGAAGCCGTACAGAGTGCGTCCCTGTCTCTTCAGCGCGTACACAACATCCATGGCGGTCACGGTCTTTCTCTTGGCGTGCTCTGTGTAAGTAACAGCATCGCGGATCACATTCTCCAGGAACACCTTAAGAACACCACGGGTCTCCTCGTAGATCAGACCAGAGATACGCTTCACACCGCCACGGCGAGCGAGACGACGGATGGCGGGTTTGGTGATTCCCTGGATGTTATCACGGAGTACTTTGCGATGACGCTTAGCGCCTCCTTTCCCAAGTCCTTTACCGCCTTTGCCTCTTCCAGACATTATTACTTCCGAGCTTGTTTCAACAAGTGAAAAGTAAGCTGTGCGAGTGACATTTTACAATCGCCTACAGGACCGAGTTGAAACACTGAAAGGCGGAGTTACGCGATAGCAATATGCCACGTGATACACCGATCAGACCTCACCCCTAAATCCAACTGTCACTTGAAGGATAACAAGACAGTCACTATTTCAAATACAGCCAAACAAACAAACACACAAACAGATCCACACATAACGTTTCAGTGTGTACAGCAGGGATTATTTGACTTTATATTGCACCTCAAGTGGGTGTTTTTGAATAATTCTAGAGCAAAGTTGTTATTTTGTCTGCCATTTTTTGGCATCTAGTCTAAAATTCTACAACAGAAGATTGGAGACAGAAGAACAATTAACATTATGTAAGATTATAATATTACAAATTTTATATTATAAATTTTAAATTATAAATTTAATATTATTAAAAATATTATAATAATATTATTTTGAACATTGTTTGCGTCCGAAAGTGCATCCCCCGGATAAATCATATGCCAGAGTAATAATTTAAATATTTTATATTTCTTTTTATTTGCTGTACTTATAAGTCCTATTTATATACCTAAAGTTTTTTGTTTTTACCTCTTATATTCCACAATTTAGATTCTTATTGATATTATTTTAGTTTTTTAAGGTTACAAGGGATAATATAAGCACTTCACTGCTGTGTATGACTGTTTATGTGCCAAATAAAATGTTAATTTGATTTTAATAGGTGGTATATTACACTGTGGAGTGGCGACCCCTCATAAAATCAGCAACTTAGTCAAAAGTGAGTGAGGAACATTAATATTTTATTAAAGGTTAGTATAGTGTACCGGTTTGGAGTGTGAACCCTTTTATGAACTTTAAGCAAATAATAATGGCCTTTTCTGCTGATTGGCTTTCAAAGTTATTTGTCACGTCTCCCATACTGAAAGGAGACAAACAACTCAAATTAACTCATTTTAAAGTGCATCTAATGCTTTTTAATGTGCTCACCTAACCCCATCCCTAACCCTACTGTCACATTGACGTCACTCCATCGAGTGCATTGAGTCTGACATTGCATCGTTGAGTGATGCAGTCTCAGCTTGCATCATAAAGGCTGCATCCAGATACTATTGGAATTGTTACTGATTTTTCCTTATTTGCTTTTTAACCATTCGGTATTTATTGATTCATTATAATTAACCAATTAGCCTCATTTTTATAGTCTTGGACATGTAAATGGTTTATAACAAAACTGGTTCTTATGCACTGTTTGATTTTCGTTTTTCTCCCTAATTTACTGTTGGTGGCTGTTTTTGCCCCATTGACTTTCATTATAACTACGTTGTAGTTCTGACAGCTGAGATGCACATTTAGATTTTCTCAGACACGTCAAGGTAAGTGTGCACAGGTCACTCTCACACTCACAGACATGCACTTTAATTTGCTGTTATACTCCATCCAACAGCTTAGTTTTGGTTAACGCATCAATGGCAATGCTGTTTCACATGTTCAAAACTTCAGTTAAAAGTAAAAAATAAATAAATAAAAATCCAGTACTCAATGACCTTTTATATTAAAAATCTTAATTTTGTGTTTTGTTTTTTACCAAATCAGTAACATCATTTATAAATTTGGCAATTGAAGAGCTAAAACGCTGCAATTTTCTAAGCAAGTTAGTAGTTTTGATCAGGGCTGAGGTTGATTACCAGATATATAAAATATATATATTTATCTGATGCATTTTACAGCAGTTTAATTTAGTTTGTTCTCATCCTGAACATTACAAAAGGTAGTAAATTGCCCAGAGTTTATTGTTGAGACTGTAAAAATTCAAAGTATTTTCCGAAAACATGTTAAAATAAGACTTTTCAGCAAAAGTCATTCTGCTTTTCTGAAGCACAGAGAAAGTTATGGCCAAACTAAACTCAAAATCATCCCAGTGGATGAAAACATCCCCAACAGTGCATACGGCTTAATGCCAATGTCAGATTTTGTTTTTTTGCAGAAGGAATCAACCATCCTATTAAAGTCCACACTATTATTATAAACATAAGCCTTTTCAATAATTGTTGTTATATCACACCACTACATATTTTTGTGAAGTGTAAATTTGCAAAAACACCACCAACAGTTCTTCAAAGTGAAGCTCCAGTGGCGTACAAAATTTTAGTTTGTTCATTAAGTGAACTTGTTTATTTATCCGACAATAATATGTTAACCGGTACTGTGTTTATATCATTCACTTTCTTTTCGGCTTAGTGCCTGTATTAATCCGGGGTCGCCGCAGCGAAATGAACCAATAACTTTTCCAGGACATGTTTTACGCAGCAGACGGCCTTCTAGCCGCAACACATCTCTGGTAAACATTCATAGACACTCACTTACTACGGACAATTTAGGCTACCAAATTCACCTGTACAGCATGTGTTTGGACTGTGGGGGAAACCGGAGCACCCGGAGGAAACCCATGCGAACGCAGGGAGAACATGCAAACTCCCTACAGAAACGCCAGCCGAAGCTCGAACTATCGACCTTCTTACTGTGGGGTTACAGCACTATCTATTGCACCGCCCCACTTTCATTGTATCACATCTAAAGTATTATCCTGCGAGTGAGCATATAACACTATAATTAAGACCAATCTTGCTGTATATCTTAACTTCAGAGAATGCTTCTTTTATGATATATTGAGGTGGCTCTGAAAAGAGCCTTTGGATTTAAAATGACATGACCGTGAACCTAAGCACGCTCTCCGCGGATGCGGCGGGCCAGCTGGATGTCCTTGGGCATGATGGTGACCCTCTTGGCGTGGATGGCGCACAGGTTAGTGTCCTCGAACAGACCGACCAGATAAGCTTCGCTGGACTCCTGAAGAGCCATGACGGCGGAGCTCTGGAAGCGCAGATCAGTCTTGAAGTCCTGAGCGATTTCACGGACCAGACGCTGGAAGGGCAGTTTGCGGATCAGCAGCTCAGTGGACTTCTGGTAGCGACGGATCTCACGCAGAGCCACGGTACCGGGCCTGTAACGGTGAGGCTTCTTGACGCCACCAGTGGCGGGAGCGCTCTTACGAGCAGCTTTAGTGGCGAGCTGCTTCCTTGGAGCTTTGCCTCCAGTGGATTTACGAGCGGTCTGCTTGGTTCTTGCCATATCTGCAGAAGTCTTCTCCTGTTTTCGGAACAAAACTATAACCCCTTTCCCAAGCAGCTGGTATTTATACTCTGCTCTGGAGTGTTCTTTGTGGGCGGTGCGTCAGCAAAGTCAAATGATTGGCTACTGCAAGAACTGACCAATAGCTACACGCTCCCGAACAGGATACACACTGCAGCAGCCCGCGCTTTCCTCTAATGTAAAGCACATCCATCCACTTTGAACTCGACCACATGTAAACGTCGGATCTCTTAAAAATCATTTTTTTGAAATTATAGGTCAAATAAAACTTAAAAAAAAAACATTTAATTTGGTGAATGAAATCAGTAACTGTTAATTACATTATCTTTATAGACTGACAATTTAACATTAAGGAATTCTTCGTCTTTTCAGTCAAAATGAGGTTATTCTCGTGTGTGTGGAACAATTTCTTACATAAGAGGCCAAATAAACTACATTAGTATTCAGTAATGCAAACTTTTGAGAAAAGCGGCGGATTGTGAAAACAGCATTTGGAGTTTCAGTCAAAAACCCCATCACTTACAAGATGATGTTATAATACATCAGTCTGTTGCTGGTTGTAATGTATTAACTCTGTAGCTCTTTCAGAGAAAAAGTGGGTGGCTCTAAAAAGAGCCTTTGGGGGGGTGGTTGTGTTCAAGCTGCAGCGGTTTATTTGCCTTTGGCTGCTTTCTCGGTTTTTTTGGGAAGCAGAACAGCCTGGATGTTGGGCAGTACACCGCCCTGAGCGATGGTCACTCCACCCAGAAGCTTGTTCAGCTCC